TAAAAGATGAGCAAGGCAATGATCCGGAGAACATTCAGAAGATTCTTTAATCTAGGAGTTAATTGGAAAGATTCTCACCCTGACTAACTATATATTCTGATACCTGTGAACTAAGCTACTGCACTGCAGATGGTAATTTGTAATAGTAAAACTATAGGTAGCTGTTATTGTCATCCTTCTAGAGTAATTTTCTATAATGTGCATGTGATTTTGAATTATATTTTTTGCCTTGTTACTTATTAAAGTATAACTTTCAAATAGTATCATACACAGATCTGAAGTATTTAGTTTGCACATTTATGACAAACATATACTTTCATTTAACCCATACTTCTCTCAAAACATTTCCATCTCCCTGGAAAATTCTTCAGGCCCTTACTAAATCCATTTTCCCAGAAGCAATCAATGCATTTATTTCATTGAATCTATTTCTATCACATAGATTAGTGAATGGAATCATTACAAAAGATGTTTTTAGATTTCAGTAGTTTTTAAAATATAAAGCCAAACACAAATGCTTGGAACTGTTTAATGTCCATCAAACTAACTCCTCCCACCAGAAGACTTGAACTCTGCAAGGAAAGCTTCACTATATCATAGACCCAGAAAACTAATTCACTGCTGAAGGCACAAGGAGAAAAGATGGATATAAGACATTTAAGTGGAGAAAAAAAGTTGCTTTAAATAAAAGGCATCTTTAGCTGGGTGTGCTGGTGTATTCCTGTAATCTCAGCACTCAAGAGGCTGAGGCAAGGACTGCTGAGAGTTCAAGGCCAGTCTGGACTACAAAGTGAGTTCAAGGTCAGCCTAAAATGCATGGTGAAACCCTGTCTCCAAAAGACAAAAAATAAAATAAAAACAATAAAGTCATCTTATCTTTTCTCAAAACTAGCAAGCTCAGAACTCTGCATGCTACCTACAAGGATTCCTTTTTAAAGGAACCCTTTCCAAATGACTCTGTCAGCACATGACCAACAACGAAATCCCCTGTATAATACCAAATTCCCTGATCCTCACTCAAGGCCTCTGGCCTCCGAGTGGAGATGCGCAGGCTCTCTGCAGGAACAGGGACCAGCCGCAGCAGTGCATAGGTCAGCTGCTTCCCAAGGTGGCCGCCTCCAATGATGCCCACTTTTAACTTCCCATCATCAACAGAAGCCAAATCAATTGAGTCAACTGAGAGTGATCTGGAATTTTGATGCTCGTGTACTGATTCCCTGAGGAAAGAACAGACAGACAGACACATAAATACACGCTCGCATTGTAGCTCTTCTTGTCAACCTCACATGTTCTCGGCATTACTTTTCTCAAGTAGAGGCCTGGTAGCAACTTACAAATCTCAGACACATGGTATTTTATTTGGGGATTATTTTTTTTAATTTTTTATTTATTTGTGTGTGTGTGTGTGTGTGTGTGTGTGGCCAGCTCAGCCCACCAGGGGGCGGTGCTGGCTGGCATGTGGTGCTGGGGGATTGAACCGCGATCCCTTTGCTTTGCTGAGTTTGTTCTAAGTAGGTGCTTTAGACCACTGAGCCATCTCACCAGCCCCGACACATGGTATTTTAATTGTGTGCCATTTATTCAGTGTTTTAGGGGATAAAATTTTCTTTTTTTTTTTCTTTTCAAAGTTTTATTGATAAACATATAGCAATGAGACAGTTTCAAATCAAATCGAAAGTACAGCTTCTACAAATAATACACTGCATACGTTCTTCCTAGTGGTTAATTGCTGTTAGGGGATAAAATTTTCTAAAAACTAAATCACACCCATTTTTCAAGAGACCAAAACTGGATTAAAATACTTTTATTTTATTTATTTATTTATTATTATTTTTTTTTTTAATTTTATTTATTTGTGTGTGTGTGTGTGTGTGTGTGTGGCCAGCTCAGCCCACCAGGGGGCGGGGCTGGCTGGCATGTGGTGCTGGGGGCTTGAACCGCGGTCCCTGTGCTTTGCTAAGCTTGTTCTAAGTAGGTGCTTTCGACCACTGAGCCATCTCACCAGCCCCTAAAATACTTTTAAACACATATCCTTTTATTACATGATATTATGCATTATCCTGCTTGCTTAGACACAAGGCTTGAACATTCATCATGTCATTGATCTTGGACTACTGTAAAGAGTCCTGTTGTACACCACAGTATATAACCATTTCCTTTATTTTTTTGTTTTCTAGGCAGGGAGCTGTCAACGTTTTTATCATGTTTTTATTTTATTTTTTTCATGATTTTTTTTTAAAAGGCTGGTGAGATAGCTTAGCGGACTAAGTGCCTGCTTAGGCAAGTGCAGGCACAACATGCTGTGCTAGCCCTGCCCCGGGGCGTACTGAGCACTGAGACGGGGCGTGGTGGTGCAGCCCTGTCATCCCAGTGCTGGGGAGGCTGAAAGCAGGATCCCTGTGAGCCGGAGCTGTGCTGCGTAATGAGATCCTGTACCAAACACATAATAAACAAACAAACAAATAAATAAATAGCACCTAGCATAAAATTTCACTACTTTAACCATTTAAGTGTCCCTTAGTGTTAAGTACGAGGATATTATTGTGCATCAGATTTCTAGAACTTTTCATTTTGAAATGCTAAAATTCCATATATACTGAACAACTCATTTCCCCTTCCCTCAACTCCTGGCAATTACTATACTTTTTCTCCCTGTTTGGCTACTTCAGGTACGTCATACAAATGCAATCATGCAAAACATATGATTTTACAACTGCCTTATTTCACTTATCATAAAGTCTTTTTTTTTTTTTTTTTTTTTTGGTCTGGCTGGCTCAGAATGCCTTCAGGGCAGGTTTGGCTGGCTTGAGTTCTAGGGATCAAACCACAGCAACCTGAGGCTGACTGCTTTGTTGAAGCAGTCATTTAAAGAACTGAGCTAAGGGGCAGGCCCCCAATAAAGTCTTCAAGCTATATGCATGTTGTATCATATGGGAATTTCCTTTTTTTTTTTTTTGCAGAACTGGGGATTGAACTCAAGTCCTTGCGCTTGCCAGGCAAGAGCTTATTCTACTAAGCTATCTCCCCAGCCCCAAGGAGACAGGAGGGCTTAAAAAAGCCCTCCATTTTAAAGACTAAATAATCTTATAACATGCATACAATAAAATTTCTTTATTCATCATCAGCAGACACTTAGGTGCTTGCATCTCTTGGCTGTCATGAACATGGGTATGCAAATATCTCTGAAATCCCATTTTCAATTTTTTAGAATATACACCTGTATGGCAATTGTGGTTTTAATTTTTAGAGGAACTTCCATACTGTCGTACTCAGTAACTATACCACCTTACATTCTTACCAATCATGTACAAGGATTCTTATTTCTCTACATCCTCACCCAAAACTTGCTAATTTCTGGTTTTCTAATAGTGGTCATTCTTT